CAAGAATTTAAGTTTTCAGAAATAAAATTAGAAATCTAGTATTGAATGAAAACATAGGAAAGGAATCCTAAACTACGGTGATTCTCAAAATTTTTCCAAAACAATTTCCTGAATCCCCAACTGAGCATACGTAAAATTAATGTCTCTTTTTCAGAACACGTTTACTTTAACACAATTATAATCGAGTTGCGTAGTGATGTAAATAATTTATTTTCAACAAAGTTGTAACTTACATCCATTATCAGTAATATTATTGAGATTTCTCCAAAAAAAACATCACTACGTACGTAAATTGTAATCCACTTGTCCCAATAAGGAGAATTTAAAGATCCTCACGAGCATGCTTGCTTTTCTTCCGCTTCCTCCACTCGTTGAACTCACATAGGTCAGCTTAAAATGGCCGACTAAATAATGTCGTAGCGAAACGCTCTCGTATATAACTCAGTTACATTTCAAAGCCCCATGGAGTCTACCGTTCGCGCGTCGTCCGTTCAAACGTCAAACCTTCCCGCCAAAAATGAACAATACTTTTTAAGCGCGGACCACAGACTAAAATCAAATCGAAAATCAAGAATAACAAAAGTTACAAGTGCTTGAAAATATTTTTCGTGATATTTTTAATTAGTTTTTATTTATCCGAATATTATTTGTGATTTTAAGTTATAAAATGAATGTGTTATTATTGTTATTGATTATTGGCTGTGTTGAGAAATGTTATGCCGATGATAGGTAAGTTAGAAAAAGTTTTTATTTTCTTAGCATAAATATTTAAATTTACTCTAGACTCGGATGTTAATAAACACAAGGTAAGACAACAAAACAAAGAAAGTTGTATTACACGTGTAATAAAAATTACTTTCCTAATCATTATCGATTTAATCAACAATGACACAGGATATGTAACAAATTAAGAATATCTAAAATAAGATCTTAACTCAATCGTAAAACAGTCGAATGCTGCTACTCGACACCTACCCCGTGCTTACTACTTAATTTCAATTGCTACTTCACAGTTTGATTATATAAATGTACTTCTAAATTATTGACACTTAAACTGGTCTATCCTGCCCGCGTGCATGTCTTCGTACACGATGCCAGAATAAATGTAACACTCAGCGGATTTATGCAGTAACCTTTAGATACCCCTAATTCAAATGACTTAAAGAACTAAATTGTCATGGTTGCTTCCATTCTCTAAGTAACCAATCACCAGATCCTTTAAATTACTTTTATATCAATCACATTATGGTCGCTACAAATTATTATCAAATGAATCACATGGTCATTTGAATTACTATCAAACAATCACACGGTTTTTTCAAATTACTTTTAACTAATCACATGGTTCTTTTTTTCAAATTGCTTTTAAATCAATCACATGGTCTGTACATATTACTATCAAACCAATGACAAATAGTTTTTTAAATTGATATCAAACCAGTGATAAATGGTCCTTTCAAATTACTATCAAACCAATGACATGGTCTAAACAAATTATTATCAAAAAATCACATGGCCGCTTCACATTTACTATCAAATCAATCATACTGTTCCTTAGAATCTCAAAGTAATGGTTATTAAATATTACTAGTAAAACCAATTAAATGACTACTTAACATGATATAAACAAATCAATCACATAGTGATAATAGTAGTTTCGACCACGTCTATACGTATTAGAGCAATTTTTGCATTACACAGAAAGATGTTAAGTACACAGATAGAAACGTTAATACCGTCAATAAACGTTAGTACAATAAATAAATAAAATTATTGAGTAAGTCACTTCAGTTATCATTTTACTGTTTGGAAATATTTAAAATAAATATGTATTTTTAAATCACTAAACCTAACCGATAAGAACTATAATTCCATTAAATAACAACATAGAGCTTTTTGTGTACGTTGATTTCTTTACGATCTTTTCTTTCCATGTTTTATTACGACAAACTGGTGTGCTAAACTGATCTAATTAGTTTGTTGTAATAAAACATTACGCAAAAAAATCTGAAACAAATCTAATTATTTTATCGATATGTGCTTTTAAATCTTTGTAAAACTTTAATAGCTTAGTACACAATCTTCCTTTTGCGACACTCGTAGATGTAGTAGTTGATGTGGAGTGTCGTTTTTGTAGAATAAATTGTTTTAGTCACAACATAGGGCATAAAATATTAAATGACACCATTTTTTTCCGTCAAAAATTGTATGCAAGGTTTTAAATATTCTTTCTGTAGATAACTACAGAACAGTGTGAGTATGGAAATGACGGCTGATAGGGGAGAGTGGAAGAAAAATACATGTTGCGCTGACCTAGCGTGGGATAACAGGAAGAAGAAGATAGCTCCAGCGAACCACATTTTAGCTATACAAATCGCCAAACAAATTACAATTAATAAATAAAAGCAAAACATATATATACATATATACCTCGGTGGCCTAACGGTTTGCACGGTCGGCTCTGGATGAGGATGTCCCGGGTCGATTCCCGGTAGGACCAATTTGGTAAATTAGATTTTCAAAATTGGTTTTGGTCTTGGTGTTCTGGGTAGCGCCTGGGGGTGAATTGATCTGGTATTCATAGTACAGGGAATTCCCTAATTAGAGATCAGGCGTGGTTCTCTACAAAAGACGTAATTTACAATTTTAAATAAATTATCTTGAAATAAGCCGTAGAAAGTAAAAAAACATTCTTCGATTAATATTGTAAAAGTGGTGTAACTTCATTATTTTTTTCTAAAGGGTATCACATTTCATCATATCTTTCATTATAAACAAATTATTTTATCTTCGATTTGTATTAAACAATGAAAACTAAAACCACTGAATTACAAATTAAAAGAACTTGTATGTTTGTCTTACTCATTATCTTCAAAAAGATCGTTATTTCAATTCAATTCAATATTTCAAATTTACTTACAGGGAGATTATTTACTTTTACAATGAACGACACTATGAAAAATATTTATTTCCTCTTTATATACCTATATAACATTAATATGATATACAATTTTCTTACTCCGTATAATGAGATATTATTTTAAAATACTTTGTTTAAAATTGTACGTTACATCATTTACGTAAAGTTCAAACCATTTTGAAAAAAAAAGACAGATTCTACAAGCTTGTGTGGCGGAGTGTAATTCAAAGACGATTACGTAAACAAAACTTCATTCATAAAAATCTCTTCCGATACCTATAGTTAGTCTGTTTGTATAATTATAGTTTGCAGTTATATAAATAAGTTCTTTGTCTTTCTTTGGGCATTTTTACAGAAGTTTTTTTTAAATGTCGTTGACTTATATACTTCGTATGTTTGTCAACGACAACCTTACCTTACCTATTTCAGAAATGACCTGTAATATCAATAATTACTTAAATTAAAGAAGCGTGGAATAGAAGCGTGGTGATACTCTTCTTGAAAAAGGGAGATAACACCCTATTGAAGAATTACAGGCCCATCTCGCTTGTAAGCCACGTTTATAAACTGTTTTCACGAGTCATCACGAACCGTCTCGCGCGCAGATTCGATGACACCTAGCGCCCCCGAACAAGCCGATTTTCGAAAGGGCTTCAGTACCATAGACCACATCCACACGCTGCGGCAGACTATATACAGAAGACCGAGGAGTATAACCTGCCATTATGTTTAGCGTTTGTAGACTATGAGAAAGCCTTTGATTCGATCGAGATTTGGGCAGTGCTACAGTCTCTACAACGGTGCCACTTTGACTGTCGATATATCGAAGTGTTGAAGTGTTTGTACAGAAACGCCACTATGTCAGTTCGACTCCAGGACCAGTGCACAAGGTCTATCCAAGAGGATTGCGACAGAGAGACGTCGTTTCTCCGAAACTTTTCACCAATGCATTGGAAGATGCTTTCAAGTTACTGCACTGGAATGGACTCGGCATCAACATCAATGGCGAGTACATCATTCACATTCGATTTGCTGACGATATCGAGAATCGTTGGAAGAGCTTGGCACCATGCTCGGTGACCTCAATACAGTTTCCCAGCAGGTGGGTCTAAAAATGACGAAACTTATGTCGAATGTCCACGTCGTACCCACCCCTAGAACAGTGAGAACCTCTACTCTCGAAGTTGTTGACGAGTATGTCTACCTCGGACAAACCGTCCAATTAGGCAGGGCCAGCTTCTGGAAAGAGGTCAATCGTGGAATCCGACTCGGTTGGGCAGCTTTCGAGAAGCTCCGGGACGTCTTCTCGTCCGCAATACCGCAGTCCTTGAAGACAAAAATCTTCAAGAAGTACGTGTTGCCAGCGATGACTTACGGCTCTGAGACGTGGTCACTTATAATGGGCCTCATAAAAAAACTCAAAGTCACTCAATGAGATGTGGAGCGAGCAATGCTCGGCATTTCTCTACGTGATCCAATCACATCTTGTACACGTCCGATGACAATGCTAAAATTAAACTAAATTTAAGCAACATTTTGCATGCCTAGTCAGGTAAAACATGTGTTCTGTAACAATTGTTCCATCTTTCACACCATGTTTTAAGCTAATAAAATTTAATTTCATTTCATCAGAAATGAGGAGATCCGTAGAAGAACGAAAATCACCGACATAGCTCGAAGGATTAACAAATTAAAGTGGCAATAGGCAGTACAAATAACTCGTAGAACTGACGGTCGTTGGAGCAGAAAGGTTCTTGAATGGAAACCACGAACCGCAAGGCGTTCAGTGGGCGGCCCCCTACTAAATGGACGGACGACCTGGTAAGGGCGGCGGGTAATCGATGGATGCAAATCGCGTCCGATCGGCTGGTCTGGAAATACTTGGGGGAGGCCTATGTTCAGCAGCGACCGTCATCCGGCTGATAAGATGATAATCAATAATTTCAAGGTACTTGTCCACTTATGTCCTTCAGAGCTTTGTAATTTAAGCACTAAGTGATACGCAACTGCTGTGGACTGGCCTGTCGTTCATTACCGAGCGCACGCATCGTAAAAAATGTGGTTATTTATTTTTTGAAAGGATGTAACGTAAGGATGTGATCCATGTTTCTGAATGAAAATAGGTAGTACTAAATTTTTGGAACAATCAAAATATGATCTTTATTTTTGTTGGATATCATGTAGTTTAACAGTAGCTTTTCTTTAATGCCTGAACAGATATATTATGTATGTGTATGTCATTCTTAGGTTCTACTACTTACTTTATCTTTATAACCGTCTTCAAAAAAGGATTACTTTTGTGAGCCGATTTTGATGATTCTTTTTTATTGGAAAGAGGGTAGAGGGTCTCAATATTGGTACCATCGAAATTTGTGGGGATGAATCCAGCGTCGGGCACTTTCCGGTAACCGATCGCAATAAAACTTGGCAAATTCGTTTTTGGTTTCGATTAGTTTCGTCTTACCTACTTATTTGTAGCATTTTATTTTCTTTATGCATTTTCTGAGTACATTATCGAAAAGCGTTTTAGAAATCCTTGACATGGCCATAAAGTGCCCTAAAGCGCGTGTCATGATGCCATAAATCATATTTCTGTATATTAACGACTAACACGAATCTTTTAATGTCCTGCCAGACACTCGTTGACCCAAATTCCTTGATTTTGGTCTAGATTTTTAAGGTTTTTTTTTAGTTAAATACCATTTGTTATCTTTAATGGGGAGGGTTCGTCATGTGAGGAAAAAACTAGCTTTATTTAAACTAAGTTTTTTTAATGATAGCCATAGCAGTTGTAGAGCTTTAAATCTCA